GCATTAATCTACGCTGAAGCCGTTCACGTCTGATAAATAAACGAGATGCACTGGCTCGCTCCGATTCGTCTTACTTGTGTGCGGTTAGAAACGATGACTGTGCTTTCGATTTGGCAACGAACGAAGAACACTACACTAGTCCTACCTCAAGGTTGGTCGCAAGCTGTCCTACCTTTATGCTGATTTCTTAATCAATTTTTCAGTTTCATCCAAAGGAACAAACTTCCCATGTCTCTGTGATCGAAGTCTATATTTACCTTAAAAACCACCTATTAGCAGTCACAGAGGTTAAATTACCCTACTTCCTTATGTGTCCTTTCTCGAATACGCCGGCACCCACCCCCGGGCTAAATGAGGAATAAGTCCGTCCCACCCCTCCCCCTCATTTTCTGGGGAGGCACGGAAAAAATGTTTTCATCTTAACTTTAATCTGCCATGAAGCTTCAGCGACACATTCATAGCCCATGAGGAAGAACAATTTCTTTCCGGTTGAGCTGGTGCTGCTCATTTCCTTCTCCACATTTTCTCTAGTTCTTCCAGAATCTATCTGCCACAATTTTCTATTGACGCAGGCTACTTGCTTTTAAACCAGCAAGGCGACAAGCTGTTCAATAGGCAAGCGAAAACGACTGACAGTGGCGAGCAGCGAGACAATGAAAAGGCCGGGTCAGGGCACTTAAGAAGGAAAATCACCATATTTTTATGTTTTGTTTTGTTTTGTTTTTTATCTCGCACTCCTTCTCTTGTCCGTAACTAGTCAGGATGACCCCTTTTCTGTTGACTCCCTCGCCGGCAGAAATTGTCGCTATCCTCTCTTCGAGACCAAGTGTAAACACGTGCCTAAATATGCTTCAGATTTGTGTACACTTCATATAATTTATTCACCATTTCCGAAACTAAAAGCGCATCAATCCCCAACAGATGCATTTCGTACTTCATCACGAGAATCAAAACAGATGGTTAGAAACTTTACGTTGACAACGCACAACTTTCTCGTCTCAATTTGAATTTCCTATTCGCATTGCCTGCATCGCGCCGTGCAAATACGTTGGGTTTTCTTAAACATTTAATAAAATCTCATGCCAATTTTTCAGTCCTTCGGGCAAAAAGCTTTCCTAATCACCGATCGTACTGTTGACAGCAAATCATGGTGTCTATCGAACGTGACGCATCGTAGAGTTCCGTGATGTTATGGGAACCGACCATGTTACAATCTATTCCGACAAAAAATCACTTTCCTCATGTCAAACGTTTAAGGTGATATTTCTCAAAAGAAACGCACAGTTCCTGTTTTCTGATCACGATGCGATCTGCAGTCTCCATTGTAATCGATAAGGAATTTGCAGAATATCAGTTCTCCTTAACTTTTCAGATTAAGTCAAAGGGACAGGTAATGAGAACGTGTAAGGTCATCAACAATTATTCGTACCAAATTCTTCGAGATTAGATGTTGATAACAAGGAAATTATAATATAGTCGTATGTAATTAATTGTAAGTAAGTTCGGCTCGAGATCTCGGACGTTTTTTTTTTTTCTAAGGCAAGGAATCGGAGTAATCTTATTGTTTGTTTTCCATCATCGCCTAAATTTTTGAATTGAATCGGTAAAATCTAAAATGTGCTGAGCTTTCAAGATTCTGTTATGTCTTGCTAAAATATAAGACGTCTGGATTTCGTTTGATACTGACCGTCATGTAAGTAATTTTGTTCAGCTGTAGTTCGGAGACATCTGCAATTCTCAGGCTTTGCTCTTCTCGAGTGCGGTAAGTCTTTTGTGTCTTCAACGATTTACATAAACTATGAAAATTAACTTCGTACATAAGGTTATATAAAAGGGTAAAACAAAACAATAGGCTTTTGTTTATTATCGAAGCCGTACACGAGTTATATCTTCACGCGCGCTCAGCTTCGTTTCCGGGTGACGAGGTTTACGTGACTCAGACTGCAACACGTGCAGTGGAATCTATTGTTACCACAGGCTGGCCACGTTATTAAATTAAATTCCTGCGAAAATTATAGGGCTTCCACACTGCAGTCGTATTTGGTTCTCTTCGTCTTAGATTGTATTATGAAAAATCAGATTAGGCTCGGCAGCAGCCTTTTCATGAATCAGTGATCCATATCAACAACAGGTCAAAGGTAAGCCTGAGTATCACCTCTTCCATCGGAAAGGGTCTATGGCCAAGCGAGGGTGGGAAGAAGACCTTTCCTTCTTTTTCTCTCCTAAATTACCCCACCCCACTTGGAAAGCCTTGACTCAGACTAAGTCACAGGAGATGAAATTTCGCGATTGCATGATTGTGTGTTTAGCGTGACACGTTTTGTGTTAAATGGGTTCATTCTATGAAAAGCCATTCGAAAGCTTGTCACGAAATGGTTTCTGAGGTTCCAGAAACAAAATGGTTTCCAAAGTACATCTATGAATCAGGGCATTTAAAATCTATGTGGTTGCATGCGAATAAAACTTAGAACAAAATATAGTTTTTTTTGGCAAAAGATGAAAACGTTTTCAAGAAATATTCTGATAACACTGTGAAATCGACTCGAATCTTTTCGCCAAAAAGAGTTTACTGAGGATTTGTGAAGCGAGTTGGAGAGGACGACAAACTGAACAGTACCTAAAAAACAAAGATTTTTATATCTGTTTATAAAAATAACTGAACCCATCCAATAAAAAGATCTTAAAATATTTCAAGAGTATTGTGCCCGAAGTACGGACCATGATCGGGCAAATAAGGGTTTTCTTACCGGAAGTCTGTGGACTCAGCTATAAAGGAAGACAAACAACTTTAAATGTTTTCAACTATGTTTACACGAAAACCACAGTCAGCCAATCAGAAGATATGAGCGTGTTTCGCTTAAGTTTGAGACGTGACTAAAAGGTGAACCAAATCTCTTTCCTTCAAATCAATTGCTGATTGTAATAATTTGATTGGTCTGTTAAGTTCAACTGAAAACTGGTAGTTGTGTAAAAAGGGGACTTCCCCCTGAAAAAATTTGAAAAGGAATCTCGTAGATGAGGAACGGTTACAAAAATACTATTAACATTTTACCGTAGTGTTTAAAGACTGATTCTTTAGCGCACTTCGATGTGCCCTTGATTTTTCATTTTATCAGAGATTCCACCGAGCGCAAATGAGAGAAAATCCATGCAAGAGACACTTTCAATTTCAATAACTCAGAAAAATTCCCCGCTTTTCATCTAAATACGTACACATTGGCAAGAAATCAACATACAAGTTTCACGACGGGAAAAATACGCAACATCGCTCTACATTGTGTCATTTTCTATTTCTGTTGGCCGAATCATTTTCTTTTTCATTATTTTTATCATTATTATTTTTGGTAATGCGACGGTCTAAAATCACACCGACTTGTTGGGTCGAAGGATTTCGCTCTCCTTTTTCCGATCTCAATAAATACAGATCTTGAACTTTGATAGCCTCCGGAGGCTTGACTCGCGCGCGAAAATAATGAAAACATGCTCAATTGGAAAATTGCTTTGTCTGATCTTGTTACAAGATGTAAGCTCCAATCAAAGGTTGACTTTTATCCTGAACCGCACAAGAGCAGCGTTTAATAATGTGGTAATAAGGTCATAGATTTGATAGGGTTTTACTTCAGTTACAAATTTAACCAAATCTAGATGTAATAGCTCGTCGAGTTTAGCAGATTCATGAAGCATTTCACCTTAAAATTTAACTTAAAGCCTGTTTTACGAGACAATGTTTACGATGCGGTCTATTAGCGACTGCTATTACGTCATACGGTGTCTCATGACTTCAAGGCGCTTGTGGTTTTTAGTAGTAGAAAATAAAATAAACAGTTTCTTTTCGAGGATTTTTGCGGGGGAATTGCAATAGCCCTACATGGTTCTATATCTGCCTTATGTCTTGCGCGATCCGCCTCACGCGAAAACTACATGCGGATGCACGAGAAGCAAAGTTTTTGTGTTGGCTTGTAACCTCACCTGAGTCCCAACGAACTGCGAATGAAGAGTCTTCTCAAGGAAAAAGGTTTTTGTACCACAGGAGCGAACGTTTTTGAAATCTTCCGCGGAGGATCGGAATTTTCTTGCGCCGTGGGTGTACTCATTTTCTCCTTTCAAGTGCCAGATCACTACTGTACGAGGCAATCCATAAAATGGACTACAAACAAATGGACGCTTAGAAAATTCATACGGTAACTGAAATCTGATCTGTCAATAAAGGACTTCTTAATCACATGCGCGAAAATCAGTCACGGAAGAAAATTAAATCGTCACGCGATGTAAAGTGACAGGTGATCCTTTGTTAAAGATTCTGTCTGAAGTAAACTTTCAGAGCAGAGGTTACAAATGTTACTTTCGTAACATTTGTAGAGTGTCAAAGAACTTAAGTTTCGTTCGTGACCTCACTGTGTCAAAATTTCTCGATGCGCTTGTTTTGTTTTTTTTTTGGTTCTGTTGTCGCTGATGCGTTGCATTTTACTCGGTTTATTGAAAACACCAAGAAGGACAACGGTGTTAGTAAAGCAATTTTGATGAAATGCAACAACATTTTTCAAATGTAGCAATGTCATTTACAAAAGAGGTGACCTGAATGCAAAAACCTAACGCGATTGCGTGAGACTAATTCTGACAATCGTCTCTGTCAGGAGCAATTTAATACTTGTATGGTACAGTTATGTAAATAATACTGAAGACTTAGGTTGCAGATCACTCAAAAGTGCGTTGAAAAAATTATTGCACTAAGCTGCAAATTTTTCTCATACAAATACCTCAGCTCGCCTGCCCAAGAAGAGACGGCTAAAAATTATTCCCTTCGCTCCGCCATTTTGTTCAATATGAACACTTCCAGGAACCCATTGGGACCTGACCTTGTCCAACTGTCTCGAGAGAGACTGGTGAGGAGATAGCTGTGACAACCCACAACTCCGCAAAGTTGTCTTAAGGGGAAAGATTGTCTCGGCTACCCTTAAATATATAACTAGGGCTTAAGTCTTTTTAGAATAACACCTTACCTGAGAAAGTTCCCGACTTTGCCCCGTAAGTAATTCCACATGGACTCTCCTGTGAGCTTGAATACTTTTTCCTATTTCCTTTGCAGCAACGCAACGTAGTTTTCAGTCACCAGTGACCCCTAATCGATGTTGATAATCCCAAACGGTTGACACGAAAATTAACTGAAACACCTAAGAGAGATAAAAACAAATTAAGCTTGACGTTCTTATTTGTTCATCTATCACACGTTTTGAGAAAATTATAAGTACTGGTCAGAGCTGTGTTATTTTAAATGATGAAACTCTGCATGCAAAGAATTTTATTGACGTTCAATGCAATTTTCAGTTAACCAGAAGTTGGATAAATTTAACCGAATTATTATAACGATAGGTTTTTCGCCCACAACTGGACTTTTGCGGGGAACGTAACAATAACAGGGGAAATGGCTTGGTAAGCACCGCTTAGCTGCGAGAACAGAAATTCGTCACGATTTCCTGATACAGGGGTCCTGCTTCGGCGGACTTACTTCGGACGTCAAGGATCATACTCAATTGGGTTCCACCAAAAATTTTATTTCAGTTTATGGCGACAACTGACTTGACCTCAAGCGTAATCAACTATGTAATCTAAAAGGCTTCACAATGTACTTGCTTAGGTACTATCGAGCCACTGATTCTATTGTATCCCAAATTTAAAATATTTAGATAGTATCACAAAAGAAGCGAATGCTGTTTAAAGTTATCGATTTTTCTTGGATATTCCATCTATTCGGAATGCACGAACTATAAGAGAACGGAGATTAAACTCACAACTTCGAAATTAAAAGTATATATCTTAGCAACGTAGGAAGTAAACTGAGCGAGCAGTTAATTAAAAAATTTCTGCTTATCTATGCGATACTGGTTTTAAGTTTGAGCAAGTAGCAACGAGGAAAATTAACGTATGAAAAGAACTTATTTACGGACGCAAGTTCAGCTGACAACTTCCTTGAGAAGTTATTTCCAGAAAAGGTCTCTACCAGGAAGATTTAATCATCATTGCCCGCTTAGGATAACATCACAAAAGGACCGATGAACAGGTGCACCAAAAGGCGAATACAAAGCAATACAGTATAATTGTTTTTGAAAGAACTTAAGTCCGAAATCGTTTCGATCTTCATTCGTAATTTTATTTAACATAAACACGAACAACGATTAATTAGAACAAGAAAGTACTGTTACATTTTTATAACAAAATTGAAAGTTTTTTTCTTTATAATTTTCTAAGCTTTCTGCTGAAGGCAGCGGGTTTCCAAAGACTATCAACTAAAAAGTTAATTTTAATATATTTAAAACGTGATACAATCGCGTGCCTCACCTGACAAAAAAAATGACGATGCAAAACACATAATGCAAATTTACAACTATTCTTGAAATATAGTTGATATTCACGTCATTTCATCTCACCCGACAAGTTTGTTCACAAAGGAAAAAATCTTTCACAGCAATTTTCGTCCTTGCAAGGAATCGCGAGAATTTTTTGAGTAGCAAAAGGTTTCAAGTCTTACTTTCGAAACCAAATTTGCTTGAGGTATTGTTATGATAGATGTAGTGGATTTTAAAATGCATAATTTACGACTAACTTTCAGCTAGTCAATTGTAAACGTCTCTATTTATCGAGGAAGTTAAAAGCTTCCTTATTGACTGAATCGCCTCATTTTTTCCTATCTTTTCTGCATAGACCATCATGTTTCATCATGACTTAGAAATCAACTCAGAAAAATAACGCTGAAAATACATTTGGTTCGTTAGAGATGCAAGAAGACAAATGTCTCTTCTGAAAAGAAGGGTGTTCATGGTTTTTTCTTCAACACGCTATAGATCTCGTAGTATCGATTTTCATTCGAATTTAAAATTAAACGCAACATCCTAATCTCTTTTCAAGGCAAAAATTTAAGAAATGCTTCTTTTATCTTCCTTCAAATCTCTCATTTACCTCAGATAACCGGAAGACGGAAACAGACAATGAATCAAACAGAATTCATCGTTTAAGCACATCTGAATACTTTATGCAAAATATCAAGTAAATAATTTGTGTTGAAGAGAATTGACGACCCAAAAACAAGAAAATTACATACCTCTTTGATTTTATAGGCCTTCGATACCGTTTTTCTAGTTAATAAATAGATAGCTGAGTATTTATATACATCACCATTGTATGAAAAGATGCCAATGTACAAAAATAGAGGGAATTTTTCGAAGAATTGAATAATTTCTTAAAATAGAAATGATTGTAAACAAACTTCTGCCTTTGTTGATCAGGTTTCACGTGACGTTTTGTTCTTCGATGGTCCCATGCTAATTTCTGAAAATTTCTTTCAGAATGATTCATCCACGAAAAATTGTATAAACATTGAAGTAAATTTGGTTTTCATCCATAAAGCAGACTGTGCTTATAAGTTTAACACTTCAAGTCATTTTCACTTTTGAGGAAGGGTTTGCATATCGTCTTCCACCTGTACTGAGCGAAACCACTCAAATAAAACTAAAAATAATCTTCCAAGTAAAATTTAATCCATATTTCTCTCCTGAAAACAATATTTGTAGTATCTTTGAGCGAATTCTGGTATTTGAAGCGGTCAATTAGGCATAAAGTGACAATATTTATGGTATTACATAATGCCACATTTTGTGGAACCTTTAGTAAGCGGTCGTTCTTGAATTGTAGATTCCAGTTTTATTGCTTATATAGTTAGTCTGGAGAATTAAAATTTATTAACTTTTTAACCTTGTGGTATTAAAAAACCAGTGGGTAACCGCTTAATACAGGTTTGACTGTATTGAAGATTGAAAAAGCCGGAGACGCTGGGGAACTGGATGGAGGGCTGAGTTTATTGTTTACAACTTCCGCTTGAAACTTCTGTGGAGAGTTTTACTTCCGGTTGTTTACAGTTTGCAGTACGTTCCTTCGAATACGACCAACGCCCCACAAAGCACTAACCTTCCAGCGTTGCTGAAATGGATTTTTCAAATTTACTCTCTCGCTAATAACTATCAAATTGTTTATCGTATTCATCCCGTTGGTACGAAATAGAACAGTATCCTATATTGAAATTATATTTAAAGACTTATTCGCTCTTCAAAGCCACCTTTCATTTCTTCGTGAAATCGCGCGTATAAATCGTGGAAAACAATTCCAGTTACGCAAGCTATGCAAAAACTGATTAGTTTTAGGTGGATATAACCATTATCGCCAATTTTTTTTGGATGAGTCGGAGAACGTGCTCAAGGTATATTTTGGCATATTGTACAGCTGTGAATATTGCGGTTTTCTTACATCAAATATCTCCAAAACAGAGATCTACACGAAATTATGAAACTGGCGTTTTAATAGTCCTTTTCTTGAAAATATTGTATTTAACCGGCCCATATTTTTTAAACTTAGAACATCGAAGATACAAATGCACGCAATAGATACTGTATATAGACAGATTTGTGAAGAGTGAAGAATTATTGACATAACAAAGACCGATCTTAGGGGAAAAATACTGCATGCAAAATTACGCACAAGATAGAAACTGAAATTTGTTCAACTTACGTCCCTGATCGTGACACCAAAACGATTTGTTTGAATATCCTACAGACGGCTTCCATCAAACACGATGCCTTTTTCTCGCATCAAATTGTAAATTCAAAGCATCATCCATCGATTTGTAGGGAACGGAACCCTTAGGCACGTACTTCAGAAAAATAAAGTTTCTAAATTCGTTGGAATGTCATGTATGACAGTAGCATCCGAGATGAGTGACACTTGCGCGGATGACGTCAACCGGATATTGGCTTGATCAGGCAATATCTGTGAGTAATAGCCCTCCGGTTATTGACCAAGCGTGAGGTCAAAGATGGATATTGGCCAAAAACTTTTTTACTGGATTTGTAAACAAGCTGAATCTTTAATAAAGGATTTATTGTGTAGAAATGTAAAGATAGCATTCAAGAAATGCAAAATAGATCATCAAAACGGTTCGCAGATTTCGTCGTTGTATCTGTCCTAAAGATTGACGTCCTTTTTCGATTCCGTTGCTGTAACAATTTGGTCCTGCCCTTAGGCTTTGGACCGTTTGCCCGTGCTAACGAAACGATTGATTTGGGGGGGGGGGGGTGATAGTAGGAGAGGGGTGGGTTTCTTAGTCACTTTTTAAAAATACCAATACTAAGGATTATCTATGTACACTTAATTAAAAAGAGTTAAATTAATCAATTCTGGACTTTTCACTCATGTTTAACGAAGGGATCCCAAGGAAAATCATGCAAGGAACAATTTTTTTCCGCCTTGGGTTTATGCCAAGAATAGATAGATAACAAAAAAATTGAATATTAGGATCCAATAATTATCTTTCGAGGGAAACCACTGACAAGTTTTACTAGATAAATGTCGGCTTTTCAAGTATTATGATCAAATGTTAGCACCACTTTGAGGGTGTCGTAATCTGGTCTCTAGCATTGCAGGAAGCCAACACAAACGGCGTGACACGTAACTGTATATTTTGATTTAAGAGGAAATGGATGAAAACGTCGAAAAGACAAATGCAATGAATCCTCTCACTTGACATCAGTACAAACGTACATTTAACCTTGTTGTTTACTTTTTGCACAGACTATTGTCCGTCACTGAATCTTCAAAATGACCAAAATTCGCCGTTTTTGGGCCCAAGCAAGAGTGAAAGCGCGTTTATTTTTAAGACAAATGTTATTATTCATCGCAGTTCTGCGTGACTTTATGACGACTTTCAACTTTTATTAACTTTCTTTTGAATTCAAATTTACAAACTCGAACCAGATGCTCACGCTTTTTCGCCTGGATGCCCTGTACTGACACGCAACAATTCGCAATTTAGGAGTTGCTTCTCCCCATTTTACAACAGTTCTGGTGAAGTGCAGGACTTACATTTTCGCTTACTGACTAAATTTCAAGGCAAGAGGACAATGAGATACGCTAACGCGAAATAGAAATACACTTATACAGGGATTTTTCACGTTTTGTTTCGATCAAGGAGAAAAGCAAACTTTCCAGGTGTTTAATAACTGGGTCAAATTACTCGTTCTTCTCTCTCTTGAATACGTCAGTTGATTTTTTACTTGAAACAGAAGCACGCAAATGTTCGTGATCACATCTTGAATCCATCTAAACAATCCCTTCTAAGGTAAACAGAAACTTAAAATTACGAGAACGTATCGGAACAAAGAAAAACGTGTTTAGTGCTCGCACTCAAGCATCAAGTATTGAATCGATCTTGTCATGTTAACTGGAACTGTATGGAAAGTGATTTCGGATCAATATCAGTATCTGGGCAACTGCCCACCTACCCCTCCCTTAACCCAACATTAACACTAATGAGTTAGGGGAGGGGTAGGTGGGCAGTTGCCCAGATACTGATAATGATCCGTGATTTCAAAAGAACACATCATTTATCTGAGGTCCTCAGCAGACGTGATGTTCCCAGGTAACCTGGCCTCTCTGAAACAATAAACTTCACCTCCCCTGAAGAAACAATTGCACCTTAAAAATTGATGTAAACGGACAAAGTTGGTATGAGGGATGGGGGGGGGGGGCAAGAGCAGGAATAAGGGGCAAGGAGAAAAGAAGGGAGGGGAAGGTATCACACACTTAACTAGACATTTAGTTTGCAGTCAAGTTATTTACACAAAAAGGCTGTTTGAGAGAAAGTTGTGTCAAAATAAGTTTAATTCAAAGTCATGATTTTTTTTTACAACAAACTGAACATAAATGATCACCGACCAACAATTTTATCCCGTATCCCTGTCTTGACAATAAACTAAGACTTGCACCTTTCTATGACAAATTCCATGAAAGAAAATGGATCAATCTAGCACTAGAATTCTTAAACTCTATAAACCCCAGGTGAGAAATATGTTTATCTTGGGGATATCAAGGCAATTCCATTTGCAAGAAACAAGATATCGCCAGATGCTCACAGTTTTGTATGTTAAGACAATTTATTGTACATTCTATAAACAAAACAAACAAAAAAAGTAATAGAGTCGTTTATTTTGACCAGTTGATCCACTGATAGTTATCTGGTAGACTTGGATCATCTTCCTGCAAAACAGATCAAGCAAGGATTTAAAATATCTGTGCTAGTGTAACAGTTGACTAGGCATATTTTCCACTTAACCCCTTAACTCCCAGATCAAATATGTAATTCTCCTTACAGTGAACTACACAATTCTTACAATGTTAGTTCAGAGAATTTAGTATTGGATCAACTGATTAACCCCTAAATTGATATTTTTCTTTGTTCTCATCACTTATCTGGTTGATATTGCATTGATACTGTAAGGAGAAATTCTGTCTTGGTCACTTATGGGAGTTAAAGGGTTAATTTGAAACACAGAAAGAAAACTGCAGTTGTAAGTTAAAAGCTAGCCAAAGAGTTTTCAGCACCTACCTTCGCATATCTTGCAAAACGTTGTGATGGAATGTGTCTGTACGGTGGCACATAACGTCTCTGACGGAAAAAGAAAAACACCGAACAAAAGATATATGTGTGTAATGAAGAGAAAGAGAAGCTGAACCCTCAGCTGATGCATGAACCATATCAGTTACCAGCAACATTATAATAACTATTAATCAGTGTCTCCAAGTAAGCCATAGATTTTAATGAGCACTGTGGTTAAAATAAACTGTTTTCTAAAACCAAAAGGTTAAAAATTTAATACAGTTTTACCTCTCTTGACCAACTAAGCAATGCAACTGGAATCTGCAATCCAAGAACGACAGCAAAACAGATGGCTGTATTTCTTTTCCAGTTGCGCGGATTGCACCACCATCCACCGGTCGGTGACCACACATACTTCGGATAATCAAACTTTTTTACCCCTCCCTGGATACAAAAGCAAAGGAAAATAATTAACCTACATCCATATAACATCAGGGACGAGAAAATCCACCAAAAATGCGCAAAATTGTGTAGAAACAAACCATTTTCTGGCAATATTAATCTCAGCCCCTGTCGACCAAGTAGCCAGGCCTTGCGTCGTTTGCTCGCAGGGAACCCCGGGACAATTCTCCCACAGCTCCTTGCGGTCGCATAACGCATGCTTGGACGCTTTGCCGCTTCAACAAATTTTCAAAGATGGCGGAGTCGACGGAACTGGTAAGGTCGCGTGAAAAAAAATTAATTTAATCAGACATTTAATCCTCGCATTTGACACGCCAAAATTTTCGAAAGACTTTCCAGAATACTCACTTTATCCATCAGTATAATCTTCTAGGAGTTTCTCTTCCTTGTAGATTTGTTATGAGCAATGTTTACGTTGCCAATAGACTTGTCAACCATACGAAGCGGTCTTTCGTGTTTGCAAATCGGAAGTCGCTAAGATTTTCGTGATCTTGGTGTAGCGTGATACTTATTTTCTGTTTTGAATTCCTACAGTCCCCTAAAGCTCCAACGGATGATGCAGGTAATTTTTCATTTGTAATAAACGAGTTTATTAAAATATAGATTAATGAACTTTTGGCAATTAACAAGTTTTTATGAACAAAATGGAATTAAACTTTTATCTTCTTTGTGGATATTTTTGCATCGGTATTAGGTGATTCAACAGACCAGGAATACGAAATCACAGCTGATATGATGGTGCACGATATTGATGATGAAACAACTATGGATGAGGAAGAGTTAATGGCAGACAAGGACGAATTTAATGAAGATGAACTATCAGCGCTTCAAAAGGTAAAGAAAAAAAGTTTTTATCCCAATTCATTACCAAAAACGTTTTCAGTTTTTTGGGAGACTGAATTTTTGAGCTGTGTTTTAATTTTAGATAGGGGAAAAAATGAAAAAACAGCGTTTTTTTTGCACTTTTTCACTTTCTAGATATTGACTGTTTCTTCCTGTTTCAGGTGTAAAAATAACAACGTTTTTTTGTCAATTATTTTTTTTTTGACCCATCAGTGCAATTTAAGTAATAAGGTGTCAATATTCATAACTCACTTACATTGTATTGTAGGATTTAGATCAATGAACAAAGTTTGAAATCTGGGCTTAGTTGTTTGAAGGCTGATTTGTGCTAACCCAAGGTTAAATTTTAATCTGAGTTTCTTCATTCCTTCATTCTAAAGCCTGTTTGGGATAATTTCTCATGTTCTTTTAAGAGCATTAAATAGTCATATTCTAGAAAAAAAGAATTTGACTGAATTTTGTTTTAAAGCTATTAGATCTGAAATCAGATTTCACATTAACCCTGGCGTATTTTAACCCAGCTTTGAACAACTTGGCCCTGTTTTAATTCATTTTCCAGAAGTAAAATTGAAATTATTTTATTGAATGAAAACTTTTGCCTTTTCATTACTTTGGCCATTATCTAATCTGCAGTTCTTATCAAATATTTCACCATACAGAAAAAAAAAATTTTAAAAAAGGGGTATTGTCATCTTTCCCCCTGGATGGGATGGTAGTCCATTACAAGTCCTCCCTCCTCTCCCCTTCTGCCTCCCAGTATTTTGTTAGACTTCTCTATCAAGTTGCCATTACCAATTTATACTCTTGGGGGGGGGGGGGGGTTGTTCAAAGCTGGGTTGAGTTTACCTAGGGTTAGTGTGAAATTTGATTTCAGATCTGAAAGCTTTAAAAGAAAATTAATTTAAATTCTTTTTGTATATAATTTGTTGATTGGATGGTCTAAAAAGAATCGGGAACATTTTCTTTAACAGACTTTTGAATAGAGAAATAAAGAATGTGGATTAAAATTAATTTTTAACCCTGGGTTAGTGCTAATTAACTGTTGAACAATTGGGCCTTTGTTGGAGAGAAGCACTTTCAGAGTTCAATGTTGTACACACGGACACTACATAGTGATTGGGTCTGAAACTTAGACCTCATATCGAAGCTTTCAGTTTGTTTATTTCAAGACCACTGCATCTCCTACTTACTGTTCTATAAAATGAAATGCTTAGAACTATTCCTGCTCTTAATAGTATCAAAGACATTTTTGTATATATGACTAGGAACAGGACATGCCTCTTGCGGAATTGATGGCAATGTATGGGTACTCAGATGAGGCTAACCCAGAAGCTGATGTACCTTTAGATGAGATTAAGCCTGAGCCTCTTCCCCCTCTGATTGACGCCAGTGAAATTGATCCTCCACATCCTGTTAATCCACTGCTTGGAGAAAGTGCTCTGCCAGAAACTACAGAGTCTCCAGCAGTTCATTCCCCAGACTCTCCTCTGTCAGTGCCATCACCAGGGTCTCCACAGTCCCCTCCTTCACCAAGAGCTAGTCGGGATAACAACTTCTTTCCCGAAAACCAAAGGATAACCAGAGGATGTAAGTAATACACTCTGATAAGTGATCAAAAAGTAATTTCTCTGCACAGGACCTCTATGTTTTTAAGCAGATGAATGATGAGAATTAAGATGAGGGAAATTATCTGATTTACCGGTAAGACCAAATTCTCATCACTGAAAGCATAAGAAGTGTATTCGAACAGTAAAGAGACTTTCTTTTTGGACGGTTTTTAACCCATATTCATTGACAGCACTTGTAGCCATTCTTCAGCTCCCTTAGATTTTCTGGAATGAATAATGGTATTTTAATATTTTTTGGTCCTCAGTGGCTGCTGCTTATAGTTATTTCAATCTTGGTGAAAGTTCTTCATCTTCTGATGACGAGGATTATTCACCTGAAGACTGGAAGAAGGTGAGAGAAGCACTTTCTTGATGAATGTAGTAGCGTGCCTCTGTTTTCATACAGTGGTTAATAGATTTCTGTTGAATTGAGAAGTAAATTGTATACAGTGTACTATGTGAGTTTATTTTAGTTCTGACTAGAGCACTCTGTTGACTGGTTCTGTAGTGTAGCTAGTAACTTTTATGAAACTGTATTTATTTATATACTAACTATATATTTATCTACTTTTTTTAGGAGATTCAAATTGGACCTGATCATCAGGCAGAAGTCCCAGAAGTACTGGGTCCAAACTATCAAGATGGTGAGTTGATCTAATTGTTTCCAATTGGTATTCAAACCAAAACAAATATAAAAAAAAAAATACAAAACAAAAAAAACAATGTGATTTATATGTGCTTGATCTTTTTTGAAAACAGCTCCATATTCAAAAGATGACAAGTGTCTTTGGGATCCAAGGAAAGTTAATGGAAAAGATTGTAAGTCCATTTTTCTTTCATTTCATTGCTACATCTTTATCCTGGCGGCATCTTACGGTCTGCACTCTTTTACATACTTACATGTAGCTAGCAAAATATGGAACTCTCTCCCAGACACTTCCAAAACATTAAATTTTCTAGAATTCAAGCAGGAGATCCTCAGATATGAAGCTTTTCCACAGTAGATCTACAATGCATAATGTTGTATATAGTTTATAAATAACATTGGAATTGTAATATAGCATATTTTTATTTTATTTTAGCTTATTTTCTTGAAGATATTAGCTCTACAGCTACACTGTGAATTTTGAGCATAAATATAGCATATGTATGTATGTATTATGTATGTATGTATGTATGTATGTACGTACGTATGTATGTATGTATGTATGTATGTATCACTTACAGTGCAGATATGACTTTCTGATTTTCCAGCTGATATCCTTTTTTTGTTCCCCTTTCAGTGCAGCGATATCTCAATGCAATATGCCAAATACCAGGCTTAGAGGGAATGAGGAGAGATGTTATTAGAGATGATGAACAGGTAAATGGAAATTTTCATCTACAATAGTGTCAGAGTTGAAGTAATAATCTGGAACATAGAACAAGAAGTGATTACTGTAGGCAGTTGCAGATAAGCTGTACACACAGATAAGCCACACTATGCATTTGGCAACTAAAATTTTAGAAAAAAGTTTTTGTAAATAAATCACTAGAAATCGCAAGTGAAGTCCTAACCCTTTAACTCCCATGAGTGACCAAGACAGAATTTCTCCTTACATTATTAGTACAATTTTAAGTGGAAAAGTAATGAGAATAAAGAAAAATATCAGTTAGAGGATTATAAGTCGATTCAATACCAAATTCTCCAAACTAACATCACAAGAACTGTATGTCAGACTGTTAGGAGAATTGCTAATGAGATCTTGGGAGTTTAAGGGTTAAGGAAGTACAAGGTAGCTTTAGATTACTTGCTTCGATGAATATACACCTGCACAAAATCACTTACCTTGAAAATGGAGAATACTTTGAATCATTACCTATAATAGTATCCTATAATTACCTATAATAGTATCCTCTATGGTATAGACATCACATCTACCAATTTAGACTTATTTTACAGTTCAACCTGCTTTCACCTAGTTTTTCCTTGTACTACAAAATTGGTGGTTTTCATTTGTGAGCTAACTATAATTTGGTCCAAATCTGCAGGCCCTTTACTTGCTTTTACAGTGCGACTATATCGTGGAAGAAGCTATTAGCAAAAGGAAATCGCAAACAAATCCACAAGCAGGTTTGTGATAATTTATTTCCCAAACTTCATTTAAAAAGTAAATATTTGTCTTAACATAGTCAAGATATTGTGATCAGCAAAAGCTAAAAAAAAGGCTTATATCGCATGGTGTGTATGTATTTTATTGTTTAGAAATGGCTCTTTGGTCTGAAGACGAGTGCAGAGACTTTGAAAGTGGTGAGTTACTACATGTAATTGTTATTACATGAAAATGTTTAAAACTTGTAATAATTATTTAATATTTTTCAAATATAAATTATTTAATTTTTTGAGAAGATTTTTGAGAAAAACATGTCATGGCTGTACCAGTTCAGTCTGGTGGTGCAGAGGTGTGAATGCACGTTTTCTTCTTCTTTCAGGCTTGAGAGTTTATGGGAAGGATTTTAGACAGATACAGAAAAATAAGGTAGGGTAGGCTCTGATCTATTTCATGCCCAAAATATGATGTACTGAGTTGTTAACTGGGTAAAAATGATCGAATGAAATTTGATCAACTTTGTGAAATAGTCAGTTAAACTGGATTCTTTTTCCAATCTTTTGTTAATTTATAGTACTTTTAGACCAGGTTTCCCATTCCAAAATTTAATTTTATGTTAATATTTCAATTGTTGATAGAATGTTTGTGTTTTGATTCAAGGTATGATTTGAATGGTATGAACAAGTTTCAATGTTTTGTGTTTCTGATTAAGATAGAATGAAAATAATCATTAGACAGGTTTGGAAATTTGAACGGAAGGAAAACTCTAAACTTAAACATTTGCGTATTGCAGGTTATATCACGCAGCGTGGGAGAAATTGTTCAGTTTTATTATTTGTGGAAGAAAACTGAACGTCATGATGCATTTGCTTGCCAAACAAGGTTAACCAAAAAGAAATATGCATTTCATCCTGGTATCACGTAAGTGTTATTTGAGTTTGTTTGATAAGTAAACTTGCAGTGATCTGTTTACTGAAGGAGATGCCTTATATTTTGTTGTGAACATGGGGCCAAAAAAATATTATACATGTTATGTATGGTCTGACGGGAAACAGTTGGTTTGTTTTCCCAAGAGTCCTGATGTTTCCTGAGACAAAGTTGAGGGAAACATCAGGATTCAAGGGAAAACAGAACTAACTAGTTTCCTGAGGAACCATACATTAAGTGCTTTGTTATATATTTAGATCTTCCCATAACCAATTATGTGCTGTTGTATTTGGCGTGTGGGCAACGACTGCGCAATTGTATCCTGGTCGTGATACATTTGAATTTGATCAGGAGCACATGACTAAGAATCAACCAATCACAGTACTTGTTTTGTTGAGTGAACGTCTAGGTATATATATATATATATATATATATATATAGGAAGTCACACAACAGTTCAATTTGAAGCAGAGCAGGATTTTATGAGAGGAAAAAAGGGACTACAAGACAAGCCTTAAAAGAAGAGTGGAAGCATAATTTATGTTACGTCCCTTTTTTCCTCTCATAATATTTATATATATATATATGTATGTATGTATGTATGTATGCATTTATGCATGTATGTATGTATGTATATATCTGAGTCCCCCATAATGAATTGAAGCACACAACTTCAAATTTTTTGGCTACAAGTTAAAAGATGGCATGTTTTAAGCTTGGAAATGATTTAATGGGTATGATGATGGACCATTACTTGAGTCATTATTGTTAAACTGAGGTTTCAATTTGATTCAGGGATTACATGGACAGATTCTTGGATGAAAATGAAAGTGCTGCATCAAGTCGTGCATCCAGTCCCCACAACTTTACAACATCAAGAGCATGGCCAGGAAATGGCATTGCACCTACCACCATTCAAACCTCAAGTCAGTCAGTAGCAATACAACCAGCCTATACTATTGGAGCCCCTACAGCAGCCCAGAGCACTGTCGTCACAATCAATGGCTCAAACTCCAATGCTTCATCTGTCTCATTGCCAAGGAGAGAGAGGGAATCCCATGAGAATCCTACCAACAGACAAGTGCAGCAACAGCAATCTTGCGTTCCAACATCTGTTATAGTTTCAGGTCCAGATTCTGGTGGCGAACCGCCAACCAAAAAGTTAAAAATCCTTCCTGGTTCACGGCCAAAGCTGATCAACAGCATGCTGAGTAAACCACCTCCTTTGAAACCTATTGTGTCAGCAGGATCTGGGGCATTCCATCCAAATAATCTAGGAAGTGTACCATTGCCTCCAACAAGTGTTTCAAGTTTTAACACATCAAATTCTCATGAACCTTCTTATCTACCTGTGCAGAACACACCAGCTGTTACAGATTCTCTTCTCTTTACCCACAACAAGTGATGTCTGCTCAGACTTAAAATGGTGTTACTGTCACATTCACTGGTGCAGATGAATACCCATCAGTGAACTTCACAAAGAAGAAGTTGTTTCACAATGCAGATGCCTTTTCTCTACTCCCAAGCTTTTGGGCTAAATACAACTTAAGGCTTTTACACTAATTAATGTTACAATTAGTTAATTCTCCCCTGTATCTGCGATATATTTCCATGTAAATTAATTCACAAGGCTTTGGTGTTAGATCAAGACAACAACTTCTACCTGATAAATTTGAATATTCTCATGACCTGTTTGTGGGATGATGTGTGGATATTATAGGGAGAAGTTTTATGTTAATCACTTCGAGGAGTTAAAGGGTTAATGGACACTTTCCTAAAGCCGACATCTCTTCCTACAGCCATGTCGGCAAAACTCTATCAAGTTGCATAGTACCCTAACTTTCAAAGGCTCCTGGCACCTATGTAAACCTACTGTGTACAAAGTTGAATATTAGTAAGAATTAATGTACATTGCATTATCATAATCCTGTGGCGTTATGAAATTATTTATTAAATCTGGCCATGAAAGAAAGTTACATTGTCCCAAATATTTGGTCGGACAGAGGAAGGTTTTAATTAGAGAGTTTTAGTCAGAGTTTTTTTGTTCATTGGACAGTATTTTCACTGTAGGGATCTTTGAATTTTTTCTCATTGTAGTATTGTAGACTGTACAACTGGTTTTCAACCTGCAAAATGTTGGTAGCTAATTTAGGTTGTAACTAACAAATTAGGCTGCTGGTTGAAATTTCAAGTGAGGCAGTTCAAAGATAGAGTTTGATATTGAATAATTGTTTGTGTACAACTTCAGGAGTGCCTATTTTGCTTTTCCAAGTGATCTAGGCCAGAAATCCAGCCAGCAATTGCAGATTTGCTTTCCAGGAAAATTTTGCTATCCTGCTGACTGGCTGTTGGCTTCCTCAGCCTGAATTTATTTATTTTCCCTATGAGGATTCAGTTTATTTTGAGTGTTTAGTGCAAAAGTTATAATAATATTTTTCCTCCTAGCCATAATTTTAAGATGCAGAATAACTCTAAGACTTTCATTTTTAAAACTGCTGTAAATGCTATTTTTCCTTGAGGAGAGGAGCACTTGTGGATGTTAATTCAAAAAATCTGCTGGTCAATTTATCACAACTGCTCCTTTTTTCTTTCGAAAATTATTGGGTGTTTTTAATATGAATTTTTTTTAAGGGTGCAACCTAAAGTATTTGCTAGTTATATTTCTTTAAAAAACTTTAATGCTGGGCTTATCAGAGAATTCCGTAGGTTCGATGGAGTTGTTTGATGGATATAAAGGACAGATGTGAGCAGTCACTTTTCCCTCTTTCAAAATTTTAAATTGAATAAGCAGTTACTTAATAATGAAGTTTGTTGAAATGATATAATTATAATAATTGTTATATTTGGTAGACTAGGGATAAGAACTGACCTATCCAATTACTGATGTATCCAGTGTGTGATGTAGTGTTTTAAAGTTTGGTTTTGCAGTAACACTCTTTGAAGTTTATACGTAAGGTAGTAAATTCAATTTTCCCTTGCCAAATCAAAATGTGATTTATCCAGGAAAGTTATGACTTTCTGTTCCATTGCTACAAATCTTGTCAAAATTTTTAATAACTTTTTGAAAAGGGGCATGTTTCCTCATGAACAATCAGTAATGATTAAGAAATGTGTTTCTCTTCATAAATTTTTTTTATTTGACGAGGTGCATAAGAAATGAATGCATGGGTTTCTGTGCCATAAAATTGGCAAATACAAAGGAAACATTATAAATGCAAAGACTTTTTCTTTTCCTAGCATAAGAAAAACAAATCATCTATGGCTGATTGCTTTCATGCTAAAACTAATTATAAGAAGGAAAATTTGTATTTTGGTTAACAACAATAATACTGTTTATACTAAAAATCATTAAGGCAATCTTTGGCTTAAATGTATAATAAAAATACACTGTTGTCAGCTTGGTGGGATTTATTTTAGGTTTGTAAGCTGGGTGAGCTGTTACTCTATTGAAATCATGCAATTTTATTTTGTATGCACTCTAAAGAACTACCTTGGATTGATTTCAATGATAAATATATATATCCTATTTAGATGTTTTGGTGTGTAGTATCACTGGGTATTTTTACCAGTTGTGCAAAATACAGACAATGAGTTACTCAGTGATACTAAATACAAAAACATCTAATAAGTTATTTAGTATCCAAATGCTTTATTTCACATGCATTTCTTAAAGAGTGAGAAGGGAGAGCTGATTGGAAAGTGTAGCGCACTTAGCCAACTGGTTAAACAGGTTTTTTTTTTTAACCATAGAAAATAACTGACTGTACAATATTGCAGGATATTTGTACTTGATTCACACATCACTTTTACTTTACTTGGTGCAGTTGGATAATACAATATATTAATTTAAAAAGTATTGAACAAAGGTCGTCAGAGATCAGTGTATTTGTTTCAGTTGCTGTCATTATTAAGATTCATTGTAAAATTGTAAATTTGAACTGTAACAGTTTCTCATAAAGATAACCATGGCAACACCCAGATATGTAGCATTACTATTTGGTTGGCTAGAATAATACTATTCAATTTCAAAGTCTTTCTTTGTTCTCTGTTTCTTTGAAAGGTTCAAATTTCCTGGCTCATTAGAGAATGGGAAGCTATTAAAGACTTGGCCTGCGGAGCAGGCATAATTTTGGCTAGAAAGTGTTCAGTATTTTCTTAACGAAAATTTTTGCAGCCATCTTTGATTTAAATGGCAGCAAAGGCTTGGGGGAGAAAGGAATTTGTACCAAGGGGGTAGTCCACAGTAAAAAACTCAGAGGGGTGGGGGTGGGGGAGTGAAGTTTGCACAGTCAGCAAGATAAGATTTGGTGTATACTGTGTTAAGTATGCAATTCTTTGATGGGAAAACCTTCAATATTTAAAAAAACTGCCAAACTTTCAAATACATTGGCATTACATTTAATGCTACATAACACCTCACTCAAATGAAATCAGCAATCGAGAAAAAGGAAACTTGCCTTTCATTAACGCCTTCACTTCTAAGATCTCATTAATAATTCTCATTAGTAATTCTCATTACTGTCTGTCATACAATTATTATGATGTTACAGCAGTTTGGAGAATTTGGTCTTGGATCAACCAATAATTCCCTAATTTACATTTTTTTAATTCTCATCACTTGTCTGCTTGATATTGTAGTAATATTGTAGGGAGAAATTCTGTCTTGGTCACTTGTGGGAGTTAAAGGGTTAAATGATTTCACAGATGTGCAGTCTGAGTGAGCCACTGGTAATCCACTGGTGAGTGAGCAAGGTTTTCAGTAATAGCTGCTTACTGGCAGCCTACCACCACCCGTAAGACCTCTTACTGCTGTCTGTTAAGCCTGCAGGCTGGAACTCCTGTTTGGGATTTGCCTTGCAGCCTGATTACTGGGTGTAACTGCTCACTGTGCCTAATATACCTTTGCTAGCCACTAATATAAAAAGTTATCGAAACTCATGAGCTAATCTTGTATGAAACAGCCCTCCTTACTGCTTAGATCAGTGCAATGTTCAAAGCAGCATTTGAAGAAACTTCAAAGGGTGTTCATACTCTGGGCCCGGTTCAAAGGCTGATTAGGGCTAACCCAAGGTTGAATTGTAATCTGAGGTTCCTAATTAGTCCTTTGTTCAAAAAGGCTCTATTGGGCAGTTTTCTCTATTCTTTATAGAGCATCCAATCATCGAATTCTGTACAAAAAGAACTCTACTAAATATTCTTTTAAAGCTTTCAGATCTGAAATCAGATTTCTCACTAACCCTGGGTTAGCTAAACCCAACTTCGAATGAACCGGCCATGTTGTGTTTCCTATGAGTTAACACATTCTTTTCTTGTCCACTTCTTGGGTAGGAGATGGCATTTTTTAAACCCGTTACACATCCTTTCTTGAGTGTTCGGAAAGTTAGGCTTCAATCAAACGGCAACACGCAGTATTATCTTTGCACTTGTGATGACAGAGGATACTGTAAAAAACAGATGTCAGCATTTAACACATACTGCATTTGGTCTAGTTGAGCGCTTCATTCCATTGTATCCACCATCTTAACTGCGACATGATAACCAGCGACAAGGACAAAGATCCAGGCTAACATCACAAGGCTGGTCACAAACTGAGAAATAATATGCAAGGTTACATTGGAGTGGAGCCATGTTGAACGACGAAAGGGCGGTTAATTATTTTTTTCAATTTCAAGCTAGAAATTAAGCTTACCAATGTGGGTAGTAGTTCTTTCAGTCGATAACCCATAGCTTAGTGTACTTTTATTTAAACAGAGATGTCAGAAGAGGATCCTTCTTGTATTTTATTTTCGTCCGAATGTGCACGCACGTAAGGAAATAGGAACGCGGTTATCATTTTCGACCATGCTCACTACCAACACCTCAAAAACGCTCATCTCCAGTCTTTTCCTGCCAAGAAGCCTAGCAACGTTTACTAGATATGAAATCTTTAGTAGTACTCGCAGTGGGCGATAAATAATATCACGATTTCACCTTCAACTTTTTCAAACATACCGTTAAAGAAGAATTAAAGTGCGATCTAACTAGAACTATTTGCACTGCAGCCATGAATCGGAGCGAAGTGAGGAAGAAGGCCTCCATGTAAGTCATAACAAATAAAAGTTTCTTGTTGATGTTTTCTTAAAAGTACAAGATACAGCTGAATTATTTCTAAACTTAGAAAACCTGGAGGGGGAGCCGCGTCCATTAACATGAATGCCAGCCGTAAAAGCAGCCACAGTTTTGGTAGCAGAAGCATAAGAACGATCGGGGGAGGTTCAAGGAATAATCTGTTTAATTCGTCAAGTCGTAAGAGCGTAGCGATTGATTCAAGCAGAGGTGATAAACCACAGTCGAAACCTCCAGTGCAGGTAGGATCGAGATTTGTACCGAAAGATAAACTGTACCCTTTCGTATAGAAGAGAATCAAAGGTGTCAACAAACTTGTCCGTGTTCATATAAAAACCATGGAATTGATTAATTGATTAATTGACATACGACAGCTACAGCATTGATGGATTTTTCCGTTCATAATTTAGAGATTTGAGGTGACCTTAAATTGTACGTACGGCTTTAGATCGCTACAGAAACTTAAATTAGATCAATTCGTAATAAAAAACAAGGTAAGTTTTCCACACAGCCCGACAGTTCTTTATGAATACAGCTTTTGGATAAATAAAACAATGGCGAAACAATAGATTGCCTTTAATTTGGGACTGTGACGCTATAATTCCTGTACTGAATTCTTTTATTCCCTGTAATGTACTTCCATGCAAAGGATTTTGGAAAAGGATCATGCACAGGTCATAAATTGATTCTCAAGGGCACAAATTTTAGACTTGAACAAGGTTCTAAGATCTGTGCTTTTACGCTCTTTAAAGATCTGTGGGATCATCCAAGTTCCTTTGGATTCTTCACAGGTTTATTTTTGAGGGCATTGTAAAATTGGCACAAACTGCATTTGATTCTCAGTTGGTTAATTTTACTGTTGATCAAATTATCTCTTGGTCAAAGGTGTTTGATGACATGGGGCAAGATGTCACTCCAAAAAGTCTTCTTCAAGTTGATCCTGCTGTCAAGTGAGTTGTTTAAATTGCACGCAATTTATTCGTTGATAAGATGTGATTATGATAATTGCAATAATTGTTTAAATCAATAGTTATTTTACAGTGATAAGAATGTGAGTATTAAATAGATAAGATGGATTCCATTTTGTCATGCATCTGTTCAGTAATAAATCATAGATGATGTCAAAATGCAGTAAGAACAAAAAACTGGCACATAAGGCACAGGGAAGTGTGTCAGGTGTAATAATCTTACCTTAGCCTGCAGAGCAGATGTCTTATTAGTGTGAGCTAACATTACAATCTCTTGATCTTTTATCCAACTGGCCATGTTTGATTTGGAGTTAGGGGGTAGGGCAAAATCCTCCTTCTCCAACCCTACCCCTCTCCTTATTTTTGACTGATGACGCCCCCTTGGTACAAATTTCTTTCTCTCTCCAGCCTTCTACCACAATTAAAATCAAAGATGGTAGCCACAATTACAACTGCTCTGCAGGCTAAATCTTACCAAATTTTGACATCATCTGAGATCTTTTGCATTATAAACCCACAACAAAATGAAATTTATTTGTTTTATATGATAATTAAATAAGCAAGATGTTGTCAGTGGCAACACCTTCTGTGGGTCTGTCCTGTAGTAGATCATAAGTAAGAACCAAGCAAAATTTGTGTTTAATTCAGTTTATCAGATAAAATTAGAATATTCAGTAATAGTTGTGTTACTAAATTCCTCTCATGCATGGGTACAATATGAGACAATCAGTTTGTTTTAAGGTGTTGATTCAGTTGCAAGATTGTGAATTTTGTCATCTGAGAGTTAATGAACATCTTACAAAATACTCAAGGTACTTTTCTGTTTTCTTATTGAAGGAGAAATCAGAGCAACACTTTTTTTACTGGTGGAGAATCCATTGCTACGGTAAAGTCTTCCCATCTTGCTGTATAATCACTGCTTTTCTTAACAATAAGACATCCTTACTTAATACATTTACTTCAACTATGAGTATCATTATTCAAATGTGATATAGTTGTGCTTCACTGGTTTATGTTGCATGACTTGCACGACAGAATCACCATTTACTTTTCCTCAGTAGGCTCAAAAAAAAAATAAAGATTTCACTTTATGTCTGAAATCTTACTCTGGCCGAAGCCATGATCTGTAACGGCCATTTCAAATGACCAGTGTAGAGGGAGGGTGGCTGTTATGAAAAGTTTTAGGTGCAAAACATCACCCTGTACAAATGAAAATTATGCTATCTATTTTGCATCAAATTTGATGCTTTCTGGAATAGTAAAAGTTTATTTTTTTGGACCTATCTCTTCCAGGCTCACGTTTACCCTTAAAAAACTCTACACATCAACATCAGTATGCATATTCTCCATACTGTTCTCTAAGATATTTCCCAGGAAGGTGACAAGGAGAATTTGTTCAACAATCAAGAGCTGCTTTAGTTTGTGATCATTTCCTTTATTCTCATAACTTAAATGTTTGATTTAGGGCTGATATTGTAAGGAGAAATTACATGTAGATGCCAGTTACACCCAGGGGTCAAGGAATTAAATAACTGAATGACAGAATTTCATACAAATCCTTTTATTTCTTATAGCCTTCCGTAGCCTCTGAAGTGACTGGTCAGTCCTTCTACGCCGCCAGCAGTGCCAGTATGTATGGTGGCTTCTCGCGATCTGTGTTTGGTTCAGTGTCTGGTCGATCATCTCCTGAATCAGTCAGCGAGGATCTGGCTGAACCTAGCTCTGGCTTCCGCGACAAATTTGCAACATCTCTTGGAGGTAATAACGTTAATAGAGGAAGGGAACCGTGCCAGATTTATGAACAGGGGATCCCAGGGCAGCATCCCTTTAGGGGCATATAGGGATTTTTCTTTCGGATAAAAAATATTACGCTTGTTTTGCAAACTGTCGAGAATATCTTCGTGGTCATCACTTAACAATTCACAATCATCTTTTACACTTAAAGAAGATTTGAAATGACTGAAGAAAATACTTTGGGAAAGAGGACAACTACGAAATCGTTAATATCTTTGTAGCGAAATTTCCTTCCATTTTTTTTCAGGTCTACAGCTGTATTACTCATTAACATAAAGCGTGACTCTTCATTTTTTTTCGTTGCCTCTAGACATTCAGACACGCCCAACTTTTATTCGAGAGGAACTCACAGAAAAAGATCTTGATAAAATGGTAATGACTGTGCATGACTTTTTATCTGTATAATTTTGTAGATATTAGGAACACGCTATAAATTTATCTCTAAATCAGAAACTGCTTAATTTAGCTCAGAATGATGCAGGCATTTGAAAAATCAACTACCCAAAACAGTTTTTTTAATCTTATCTCTTAACGTCTCAAAAATCTTTATTGTAATTATGTTTTTCTTACGATTTCAAAGGTATCTTAAATAGGGACCCCTAGCAGTCAGGAGGGTAACGCCGAAGAAGACGTCGTTTTAAAAAAATTAATGTATATTTTTAGTCACAATGTCGCGAAATTGGCTGGATGTGTTTGCCGTCTCTTACATCTGTACCTCAATTTAGCGTATGTTAGCAGCATTGATTTTCAATTGGAAACTTAAATAATTTGCCGTCGCAGTCTCTGTTCTCAGACCACGCAAATTCTGTTGATTTCGCGTTGTTGTTTCAAAGAAGACGGCAAAGGAATGTACAAGCTAAGCTATTGTCCTGTTTACTAGATATTCTGTTTTGCCATCTCCTCATAACCATCGGTGTCGTGATTTGCTTAATGTCCCTAGTATCGTTTGAATCGAGCCCCAGTCTTGAAGTTTATTAAACGGAGTTTCGAGGTTTGAGTTTCAACCAACAGTTGCATGAGCACATCTTTAGACACAGCTGTGTAAATCGTACTGTGTGATGGGCTGCATTGCTCAAATTTATGAGTAATATTTTATATTTTTACCAGGTTCACATCACACTTACTGAAACAGATACAATCTGGATGCTGGATTTTCCAGGCACTTGTGTTGGAGAGGATAATGAAATTGCAGAGAGCGTAAAGGAAAAAAACCAAAGATATGATGAGGTATTTAGACATATTAGCATATGATTGCATTCAGAAAGATTAAATTATCTTTCAATACTCACGTCACCAGAATTAGACAATTTTGCGTTCAGACGTTTCAATCTGATTTTGGATAGTCTCGACGCATTTCTGAAAGTCCTTCCTTTTTCAGATTGTTCCAACCCCCTCAAAGGCGGTCGCTTTCGTTTTGGCCAGTGTTGCCTTGTTTCAGACTGATTTCGCACGATTCCCTGTGGCTATAACGTTTTCCCGTTATTTCGGATAGGTTGTATCCGATTTCGGACATTTCCTTCCAGGTCGGATCGTTTCCGTCTGACTTCGGACGATTTCGTCTTATTTCGGATGTACCCGTGCGCTTCCGTGCTTTTTCGGGCGGATTCGTCGGATCCTCGGATATCTACTCCCTCCTTATTGTTATCCAGCCACCCTCGATGCTCATTAGGATTATTCGTTAACAATCCTCTTTCATTATATTTTGTGGTAATCCTTTCTTTTCCTATGTAGCTTTTAAAGAACCGTGTTGGAAACGACAGTTATGTAGAGAGAGGGATGCAAACTTTCAACAATGGCCAGAAGAGTAAAGAAATACAGTCTAGTAAAGTGGAACTTCATGTGAGAAATTTTTTGATGTGTTTTTTTTAGTGCAAGTTTGAATGGAGTGTCGAAAGGAAACCGAGATTGTTATAAATTTACTTACACATTTCTCTGATTGGTCCATAAAACCTGCGTCAACCTCTTAACCAATCACATATCAAACTAAAACTAGCTTACGAGCAGCGCCTCGGCACTAACGTCTCTACGGGAAAGTTTGAGGCCTCTAGCATGAGCGTGCGCTTGGGAGAAGACTGTAAAGGGTCTAGCAATGATTATTAGTACAAGAGCCCCGGCCAACCTCTCTCCGACTGGTCTAAAATCTTCCCGTGGGCGAAGGAACGCGCTTCTCGCCTCGCCACTTAGACTGAAACCAATCGCGATTTTGTTTGGGTTTTTACTTTGGTGTTTACTTTGACTTTTATTAGCTCAGTGTGATATTTTTCTTTGTTTTGATCAGCCGTAGCGTTTAATTTGGTTTGGTTACACGCCTTCCATGACTCTGATTAACTCTAAATAACTGAGGACTTCTTTGCCGCAAACACCCTAGAGATTCAAATTTCTGAACCACATTTGATGTATGCAGAAACTTGAGTCGCTGAGGTTTTTTTTAGTCTCAAACGTCTTGTATACAGATCGTATAACAAACCATTGAGCTACAGGAGCCTGTAGCGGTGACAGGCATGTTTGCGGCACACTGTTACTTCTGCCTCTGATTATATTCAATCTTCCTTAAAAAACATAAAAGCTTCATAAATCGTTATGATGATTTTCGTTGTATTCCCTGATGCAGGAAGTTGGCTGCGTGGCTTCAACTTGGGATATGTATGATACGTATAATTCTGAGGAAAATAAACAAGAAGGTATGTTCTCTAAATCTTTCTGGAAACACGAAGCCGATGCAAAAGCGGCCGGCGTTTTCACCGCCTTTTTTGGTGTCTGGAGTACCCACTACTCCAGTAAGAGAAAATGGTTTAAGTCCTGTCTTGATCTGAAATAAGTTTTAAACTTTGATTTGCTTTTTTGTTTTCATATGTACCCCCCGCCCCCCTCTGCAAAAAAATATAGAGGGAGAGAGATTGATTTAAAACTGTAAAGAAAACCATGAGTGAAAGCAAGGAAAATAGTTTCGAGAGGAATTGATGCTCGTGCTCGAGTACCGCTCGAGTATTTACCGCTGGCAACTGTTTTTTGTTGTTTGTTTGTTTGTTCTTTTTATGCGGCCTGCTACAAGAGATTATCATCTCTTGCTGGCTATTAAAAAAATAAATAGAGAACACTGGCTTATTCTGACTTTTCTAGGCGGCGACAAAGATGAAGGAGATGCGGATCATATGGAAAGTCTTAGTCGGCCAGTCAGTGGAGAACGAACCAGCAGCCATGATGATAATGAAAGTGTGGGTTCTGTGAGGCCGGCCAGCGGAGCGTCTGGCAGTATAACGGGTAAATAGTGTTGTTACTGCTGCCATTGTGATAGAGGAGATGTGGAGCAGGGCCTCACCATTAGTGCTTCGGCACGAGTTTTTCTTCTCCTTCGGGAAAGTATGAGGCCTTGAGCAATGGAAGCTGGCGAGAGGGTCTGGTGTAGTCAAGCATTTATAAGTGCCAGACCCCCGGCAAACCTCTCCTTGGCTCGTCGCAAATCTTCCTACAGCGCTTATGATGAGGAACTGTTCGTAAGCTATTAATGAAGAAAAATAGTACAAAAAACATGAAACATGTTTTGTTACTCAAGAGCAAAGTCTTAATTTTTTTTTCTAACAGGAAGTCGAGCGAGTATGTTCACTTTTAAGAGCAGTTCTGTCGAAGAAGAAGGACCCGAGAGGAATGATGAAGGAGCAACGGAAAAGGAGTTGGAAGACATGGCTGCTATCATGGCGGAGAGAATACTTCAGGTCTACGCGCGTTAGATTATTTTCATTCTTTATACGATTCGTCTCTAAGCTTAACCGTCTTTCGGTAACCTCACGCATGGAATTATGCACAGTATAGGGATGCTCAGTGCAATGATAGGGAATGGCCGAGTGAAGTTTGTTCGTTTATCCGTTTATTTGTGTTGTTTTCTCAAAATACGACTGTCAACGTAAAATCTCGCTTATTATTGGGTTCGAAAAATGGATACCCTCCCCTCCCTTCTTCTTTCCTGCCCCTACCATCTCCTCCGTTCCCTTCCGATTCGTCTTAGAAACTTTGTCCTAATGCCATTCGTTTACACGTTTTTATGGCCTAGTTATTTGAGAGAGGGGTGGGGGTGGGAAGGGGGTTTTCCACCTCAGAGAAACCCGAGCACATGTGAACACTACACTTGTTGGTAGAGTCAAAGCCTAAATGTTGTTCGTTATTAACTTAATGCATGACCTAAACTCTCTTTAACTCTTTTTCAGTCCGAAAGTATGCAAAAGGATCTCTTTATAATGGAGCGAGCCATAGCTCTGAATATTTATCAGCCCAGACAAGCAAGGTATAGGGGATTGGACGTTGTCCCAGGTAAATCTCGTTATGTGATTTCACTTATTGTTAAACGAAATCAAAATATTCCCATATGGAAGATCTTTTTCGTCTTGTTACAAGCTTCGGACACAGGAAAAATTTAGATTCCCCATTAGGAATCAAACCTCAGACCTTTGGATTCCGCGCTCTGATGCTGTACCACTGAGCTTCAGAGAACTCTGTGGTGAGCGAGGTCATTTCTGGATTCATACGTGACACGCGTCCTGCATACTGCTAGGACCAGCAATGTCGAAAGCGAGCCGCCAGCGAGTGTGTTATCGACGGGCCTCAAGAGCCTCTATTGATCAGAGTCTATTAAAACTCCGTCGGCGACACAGATTTCAAAACCTGTGTTGCGCAAATACAATTTTAGCTGTCGAAGATCGCTGCAAATCAAATTCAGTGCTCATTCAAGTTTCCATATTCAATTTATTGCGCATTCAAGAATTCCGAAACGTGCTTGAAGATGTTCTTAGTAGCAGTGGCAGTGGATTTAAGCAATATTCTCTAATCCATCGAATCATATCAAATGTCCATCGAATATTTTATTTAGTTCTCATTCAACTTTCCCTAAACACACCTGGAGAGGTTCTCAAGGGCAACGCATTCGCGTAATAGTTCTTTAATGCAAAAACTCTTTCAAGTTTTCTGAAATGCGCTTGGAAATGTTCTCAGTAGCAGCGCATTCAAGCAATATTCTCCAATCCATTGAATCTTAGCTGTTTTCCATATTTTTCTCAGTGCCTCTTCAAGTTTCTCGAAGCGCGCTTGCATAGGTTTTCAGTAGGATGCATTTGAGTAACATTCTCTAATCCGCTGAATCTTTATTTTCGTTCGTTATCGCTAGACATTGATGTAGAAAAATCCGATGGTGAAGAAGCCAGTTCTGCTGCCGCTACGTTGGCACAATTGGGACCGAACCTTCATAAATTATGGAGCTATTCCTGTAATCTGACCAAAGGACGTAATGTCAGCTGCCTAGCTTGGAACAAACTTAATCCCGTAAGTAGTCATCTTTTGAAAAGGGAGATGAAAGATTTGAGCCATTCGGAGAATTCAAACCTGAGCCGGGGACATTTTTCTGGCTCGGCCATATACTAGGTTCATACCAAGACTATAAAATTCTCGAACGTGATTGGTTATCACCTGCCCGATTTGAGCACTAAGAGGACATTGTACGCGATATGTTTGTAATTGGACCGTGTAATTGGACAGTTAAAGGGACAGTTAACACGTTATGCCTGTGGAAGTGGACAGAACTTTTCGCCGAGTTAACTTTGTTGTTGTTGTTGTCGTCGTCGTTGTACAGCCGATGTCTAGTTTCTTTCTCAAATTTTGTTATAGTTTTGATTAATTGGTAACAGGACTTCGTGTCGTTCAATTCTGTCTGTAATCATACTTGTGATTACAGACAGAATTGGACTTCACTCGGTCCTATTACCATTATAAATAGCATCGTCGAGAGCGTCGTCTGAGTAGTTGAAATACGAAGGAATCGTCCTCAATAGTGAGCTCTAGTTAAATATTTCGCAGTGCCTCCTAGATACCAGTTAGACACATCTATGAACCGAGCTACTAAACAGTTTGTTGAGATTGAGGCAAGTTTATGGCGGTCAGTCTTTGCTCTCGTAAAGGAATCTGATCGCAGCAAAATAAATTTAATGAGATAGTTCATTTTGAGCTCGGTGGCGAAGTAAAAACAAAAAAAAAACCAAACAAACATGACAACAAGAACAACAACAAGTGTAGCAATTTAACTGATATTTATGATTTTATTTCAAACAGGATATCCTTGCCGTGGGATATGGTGAGTTCGTGTTTTCTGAGCAGAAAGGTGGCCTAGCTTGTTGTTGGTCAATTAAAAATCCTGAGGTAATCAAACCAACCAAAATGATTTTAAAATATCGCTATTCTTACTATTTTTTCTTGAAACGAAACCCAATTTCAAATCATGGTCTCTGGTGGGTAATTTCACCTTTGTCAGATTTTGGACCCCAGTGTCCGATTTTCGATTTTGGACACCAGTGGCCAATATTTGATTGTCGATTTTGGAAAGTATGGCCGATTTTTTATTTTGGACCCTAGAGGCTGATTATCGCTTTTGGACACAAGTGGCCGTTTTTAGATTGAACCCTAGTAGCCGAGATTCGGTTTTGGACATAGTGGCTGATTTACGATTTTAGACCCTAGTGGTCGATTTTGGATTCTGAACCCTAGAGGCCGATTTTTGATTTTTTTAGACCTTAGTGGCTGATTTTTAATTTTGAACCTCAGTAGCCGAAATTCGCTTTTGGACATAAGTGGCCGATTTACGATTTTACACCCTCGTGGCCGATTTTCGATTTTGGACCCAAGTGGCTAATTTTCGATTTTGGACCCTAGTGGCTGCTTTTCGCTTTTAGACACAAGTGGCCGATTTTTAATTTTAGACCCAGTGGCCGATTTTTTAATTTGGACACTAGTGGCCGATTTCGCTTTTGGACCCTAGTGGCCAATTTCAGATTTTGTACACAAGTGGCCGATTTTCGATATAAGTGTCCGTTTGTATACATTGCTGGGCGATTTTAGATACTATTTTGGACTTGTTACGACTACGTCTGGTGTTAGACATTTCAAGATGTTATTACGTCTTTTTATGCAGTGTCTGATGTCGGTGAATAATGTCCTATTATGGAGATCAGTTTCTGATTTCGTCTTATTTCAACATTGGTTTTCTCATGTAGTATCCTGAACGTATCTTTCATCTGGACAGCGGAGTCACTGCTGTTGATTTTTCAGCGGCTCATCCTAATCTTTTAGCAGTAAGTATTAGCTTACTCATCCACAACCACGAAGGCCTGGTAGCAAGCGGTCTTATTATTTGGGTTCTAGCGTTTGTTTTGTTTCCTCGTACACTTTAACGATACCAAAAGGACACTTCTTCCCAAAGATAGTTCTTCCCCCCCCCCTCCCCTCCCTACTAAATGGTATTGAGGCCAAGATGGGGCGGGGGGGGGACCTACAATGAATTAGGGGGTAGCACTTCCCCTTTTCCTTACATGCTACAGCAGACCAGGAAAAACTTTAGTGGCTATGTATTTAGTTCAATATGAAGACTTACCCTTTTTTTTTCTTGGGGGTGGTGGGGGGGAGGGGGGGGTTCGGGTGGGTTAACCTTCAATATATTAGCATCTTATCCCGGGCAAGAAGTAGAAATTTTCTCAGTCAAGGAATGCTACAGAAACATGGATTTTTTTTCAGCGAGATACGCAGTCAGGCTCGTATGTAGGCTCGACGACATATATGTCACGGTTTTTTTTCATTTTTAAGTCCTTTATTGGAGTTTGTGCCAGTAATACGGTTTTTGTCTCCCGTCAGGTTGGCATGTATGATGGTACGATTGCTATCTACAATGTGAGAAGTCGGAGTGATACACCGGCTCTTGACAGTTTGTAAGAACTATATCTTTTGTAAATGTATGGAACGTCCCTCCCTTCTCTTCTTAAAAGGAGAAACGAGAAATACGAGATCCATGCTATTCTTATTGATTAATGTTACGAAGTGAAATTCGTTATCTCAAATGCGGTGATCTTGCACGTTAAAAAAAAACAGACAGAAAAACACAAAAACCAGGGTCTTTCGAGCAGAAGTTCACCGTGAGAGTGTCCTGAATAGAGGACTAAGTCAAATTTCAGGGCAAGTACTTGCAACTGACTGTTTGGGCTGGAAGATGCGTGCCACTAAATCAAGATTTTTTTCCTGGTAATATCATACTGGTCCCTCAGTTGACGCGGGACTCTTAAATAATAACGGAGAAAACTAGAAATTTTCAGAAAGACAGCGGAGTCTTCTTCCCTTCAGCCTGTCATTCGACTGTCGTAATTATTTATTGGCTTCTTACATCTATGGTGAAGTTACGAACAGTTTTTGTTTGTTGTTGTTGTTTTTTTGGAAAGTGAGAGCCAAGGTAAACATTCGTCACCAGTGTGGCAGGTTCGCTGGGTGGATAGAGACCAGGGGTCTGGTGAAGAGAGAGACGAAATTCTGATCTCCATCTCAGCAGATGGCCGGGTTACCAAGTGGTCCATTAGAAAAGGATTTGAATGCACAGGTGAAGATTCAGTTAACTTTTTCGACTCCTAAAACATGACGTTTCGTTGACGTCATGTCACCATTATCAAACTCGAACACTGATCGGCTGATAAAGATATTGCTTTTTTCTTGTCTTTAAACAGATTTAATGAAATTGAAACGGATAAATGTCACTGAAAAGTCGAAACAAGGAGGAGGAAAGAAGAGCGATGCTTTGATATCGAGGTTTTCCGCTGGGTTCTGTTTTGATGTTCATCCTAACGACTCCAACATGTTAGTGCATTTATTTACATTGAACATTTCTGTTGCCCCGCTATCGGCTATACCTCCCTTTTCTTGTGTTCATGTCCAACGGGATCATGATTTTGGGACAATTTATTTAAAGGGGGATTCCTCTTTGGACACGTTTTTCGGGAGGGGCTACGAGATACTAAAATCACTAATCTTCAATTTATCAGCATTTATATGGAGTTATGTGTTAGAATTTGCTTGTAAACATTTGCTTGAAAACAAGCTATTGGTATTTTTAGAGTGGGACGTTTATAATTGATATTTTTATGTACGGAGTAACTTTTTGAAAAAAAAAAAAAAACATTGTCTGTTCCTCTACAGAGTAAGTTAACAGTTGAACTTGAAGTATATATTGATTTTTTTGGTTTATTTTTTGTTCCAGGTATCTTGCCGGTACAGAGGAAGGCCACATTCACAAATGCTCTTGTTCTTATAACGAGCAATATCTGGAAAGTTACCATGGACACACGGTACGTAACAGATAGTAGAAATGTTGATTAGTCAAATAACGGTAGTTGAAGTGTGATATTTGTAAACGATATTCCAAATGATACCCTCTGAAGCAATGTATTCAGGAATTTTCAAAGTAACTATATCCAGACTTTTGCTTTAATCTGGTCTCTCCAGAACCAATCATAAACGAAATTAAAACCAATCGTCTCTTGGTCATTCTGGTGTTCCTGCCTTCCTGTTTAGGTGCAGTTAAGTTAGGACGCGGCGTGGCCGAGTCGTTAGGGCGCTGGATTTGTATTGTGGTGGTCCCGGGTTCAAGTCCTCCACCCTGCCATTCACTGCATTTGTTCTCGGTCGCCCCGAGTTCAACCCCTCGGCCGCGCTGTTTAAATAGCCAACTGGTTTGCCTCCTGCCAGTTGGGATTTTCAAGCACTCTTTTATTTGAAATATTTGTTTCTTTCTCCTTCTTTCTATCGGATAGCGATAGAAACAGCGCTATACAAATAAAAGTATTATTATTAAGCGTTATTCTCTGTGATGTTTTCCTTTGACCTATTTGGCCGTTCTGATAACGTTGCTCTTGGTTTTACGACACTCAGTTGGAAAGCGATGTAGTTAGCGATTACACTACGAGTTCGAGATTTTTTTTAGACTGCATTAAATCGAGAGCGAATAATCCCCATTCTTTGATACAAATCTGTTAATTTAGTGATGGAGCATCTGTCGAAATGTGCTCCAACACACACATTTATGCTTTGCTAGTAAAGCTGAGATATAGGTATCTAACACCGAGGTTTTCATGTAGGGTCCAGTGTACCGCATGCAGTGGTCTCCGTTCTTGTCTGACGCCTTCCTAAGTTGCAGTGCCGATTGGAGCATTAGGCTGTGGCATCAGGATAAACGTCAGCCTATCATGTCATTTTTCTCCTCCACTGTAAGTAACACATACAGGTTCATTGTGCTGATGGTAGTAGATACAAGTTGAGCTTGAGTTTGTATTCTCACGAATGATTAATGAGGTCGGACTCTACGATTTGGACCCTCGACTAGTATATCGGAAACGTCCTTTAACTACACAGACTACGCTCTCGTCATTGGTATTTATAATGGTAATAGGACCAATTGTTAATTACGAGTATGATTACAGACAGAATTGGACGACACAAAGTCCTGTTACAAATAAATCAAAACTCTGACAAAATTTAAGGGACTCATTACCTAACGGTTAAACCTATTCACAAGTTAAGAAATATTAGTTTAATTTTATCCCCATGAAATAAACCCCGGCAGTCTATAAAATAACGTGCGCAGAAGGCGTATTCTATTTAATGGCAGATTACCGTCCGATTACTGTTCAAATCTGGCTTCTGAAAACCAATCAGGTTTGAGAATTTTGGTAAAATTTTTATAGAATATTTTTTGTTTCTTTTCAGAAATCAGTAAACGACATCTGTTGGTCACCTTCATCAGCTACTCTGTTCGCATGCGTGAACGATAAGGCCGTAGAGATCTGGGATTTAAGCCTTAACACGTAAGCAACTATTACAGTGGAGATATATCTAGTTATACTATAAATTGAGTGACACGCGCTCTGTAATTGGTCGTTGCTCCTGATGTAAATGTTACAAATTGCAAGCAGCGTCAAAGGGTGCTAGGCGCGGGAAAACATGCCAGGGATGCCAGGCACAGGAAACGCACGACGAATTCCTATTAATGTGCAGAAAAATATGCAATTTGTGCCAAGTGCAGGAAAACAACAACTATTGCCAAGGGCGGGAAAACAAGCAGCGATTATCAAGCGCGGGAAAACAAGCAACGATTGCCAAGTGCGGGAAAATAAGCAACGATTACCAAGCGCGGGAAAACAAGCAACGATTGCCAAGCGCGGGAAAACAAGCAACGATTGCCAAGCGCGGGAAAACAAGCAACGATTACCAAGCGCGGGAAAACAAGCAACGATTGCTAAGCGCGGGGAAAACAAGCAACGATTACCAAGCGCGGGAAAACAAGCAACGATTACCAAGCGCGGGAAACAAGCAACGATTGCTAAGCGCGGGGAAAACAAGCAACGTTTACCAAGCGCGGGAAAACAAGCCACAGGTGTGAAGCGGTGGAAAACAATCGATGGGTTCCGCGAGTGTAAAAATCATGCCATGAATGTTAAGCGCATGCTGCTTGCAGAAAAAGAATTCTAGCTTTGTTACATCTCACATAAAGGCGAATATGCTCGCTAAGGCACTGAATAGTTTATTGACAATTGTTCTTTGATCTACTGTTTCTTCAATTTTATTTGTTTGTTTGTCTGTTGTGTTTAGGTTAGACCCAATCATATCACATGTTCCTGTGCAGGAACTGAAGTTGTCTGCCGTTCGATTTGCTGTCAATTCAGAGGTGATTCTCTCTTTCAAAGAATTATTTCTCGATGAACTGACAAATAATTTCCAAATAGCTAAATTTCTTTGAAGGATTCACGCTATGGTTTGTCTACCATAGACCCTAGCTTAAAATTTTTCAAGTTCACCAGCAACAATCTGCGTTGATTCTCTCCAATCCATATCCATTTTGGTTCCCAAGTTGTTTTTTCTTACCTTTCCGTCGTTTTTTTCTAACCTTTGCTTGGCACTGAGGGTTTTTCTTCTCTTTTTGCCGAAAAGCGACTCGAAATATTACAATGTAGCTTCAATTTAAACCCATGGCTAAAAATTAATTGTCTTCTATAACTCAGATCCAGACCATTTTAGTGGGCGACTCGGAAGGCCAGGTTACTGTGTATCAACTAAGAGGTCTTCCTGCAAAAGTGGACAACCAGGTATAAAGTTTTCCTTAGCTGTATTGGCAGCGTTTATTGTTTAGGTGAACTTCACTTACAGATCAGTAGTGCATTTACTAGGTGGGTAAATCGATAATATCTGCATATCACATGGAATCGTGTAAAGAATCAAAGCATGGTCGCAAGAGCACGTTAAATATGTTTTGGATGTGTAAATTGACACCCTTCAAAAAGGCCCTGCAAAGGGCTTACCATTTGCGAAACGCGAGATTATCTGAACCAATACTGCTGTGGTCGCAACGCGTGCGATTTCCTTGGCTAACGAATCTGTCTCGAAACGTGCATTTGCCTTGAGACTTGCTACTGGTGCGACACGCGTGTCGTTGGTGGAAGTGGGGGCCGTCTCGGCACCTCAGGGTATTTAGGTGTTGTCTAGACACGCGTGAAGATCTCGAAACGCGCGGCTGTCTCTTCATGCGTGATTGACGCCTCGTGTCATTGACGACTTGCCCGACTTACCTCTAGCTGCTTTTTTCTCCTCGCAAATATTTCAAAAGTAATTTTTTAAAGAAAGAAGATTTTAACTCCACCATATCGTCACAAATAGAATTTCAGTCCATCTTTTCTACTAATTTTCTTATTCTTCTTTCTTTGGTCGCACAATCACTCCTTTCTCCCCAGAATTCCTCAAGATTTTTATAAACTTTGGATGGTATTGAAATATTGTTGAGTGCAGCGCACATATGGCAAGTCCATGATTCGGGAAGAACCGGTTTGTAGCGTTTTCTCCATGAAAAATACTCGTTGTAAGCGTTCTCGTTTCTGTCCAGGAAAAGTAAATAATCAGCTAGAGTTTTAATCGACGCGAAATCCAAAACGTTGATAAAAGAACCAGGTATAGCGATTTTCTGGTCGTACGAAGCGCCTCCGAAAACTACCGGCACAATATCGTGGTCAAATGGCATGTACCAGTACTTTTCGGTCACGTAATCCGAGCAGTATGAATTTTCAAATGCAAGGATAAATTTATAGCGTTTTAACGTATCGTCGCAAGCCGAAGATTGCCTCGGACACGTTTCAGTTTGGTTAAATCTCTTTGAACACCATCCAAACACATCCACTTTGACGTATTTCATGAGTTTTTTGACAAACTCTTCGCGCAAACCCTGGCAGTGACTGACAACCCAAACCACAAGTCTATCTTTGCTCGATGCATATTTTCTATCTTGCGTTTCCTCGTTTTCAATCTCGTCGGGCTGAAGTTGGGTGTACGTTCGGTAGGGCACGAAGAAATCCGAATCCCTCCGATAGGACATAGTCCAGTTAAAAAACCCGTTATACAGCCATGGTTCGTAAAAAGTAAATTGAGGGCTTTCATGTATAAAATAAACCCATCTCTGATGTGGAGTTTTAAACTTCATTATGCTTTTCATGTGAGAAACACTGGGTAAATCTCGTCCGTGGAATATCACTGCATCACTCCGATTAAGGTCTTTCCGGTTGTAAGAGATTCTACATGCCTGCACAACACAAGGTATTCGGTTCCAGTTTGTGAAATTGTAATCGTTAGAAAGTCCTCGCCATGGTCGTTCACCGAATAAAGTCGTGTAGAACAGAACGAGTTTCAAAGCGTTTCTCCTTCGTAATGTCTGCGGCCCGCTGCTGAAGAATAATTTCGTAGCTATTCGCTGATCGGACATCTTTCTCGATTGTATTTTGCTGTCGAGGAACCAGTATTGTAGGATTAAAAGAGAGCTTCCCAAGCTAATGCTGTAAAATAATAATCTAGCTTTCCAATTGCCTGCCATGGCTTTTACGGTTTGTCGGGGCCCGAGCTTTTATTTGGAAAAGAGATTGATTCAATGGGATTGTTCCACTATGAAATTGGTAACCTAGCGACATATTCATCGGAAAAAAAAAATCAATAACCCTCCCTTAAAAAGAATTTAGATATTCCTTTTTACTTATTGCTTCGTTTTATATCAACTTTCAAAAAAAAATTTTTTTTGAAGGAGACGGGAAGGGGGAAAGAGCGAAAACATTCCTCTCTTAGCCAAATTTTTTTTCCAAAAACATCCGCTCGCGGTTTACAAATTGAATTTGAAATGGCTTTTGTTCTTGATGATGTGCGTGCCTAATATCTTAAAAATTTTAATATTCTTTAACGAGGAGTGTATCGGTCAATTCAGTCTGCCTCTAACTCAGAAAACCACGAACGCGTAAATGTTTAAAATGTTAATCGTGATCTAATCAATAGTGGCAACCATAAATTCACAGATTGTTTATGCTGTCATTTGAGCTTATAATCGCAGCTTCACCTTCGTGTAAATTAACTACATTACTTAAATATATCGAAATATAGATCTAAATAAATTTTAATTTTAAGGAAAATAAATTCCTGCCTAAAACAATCACACGAAGGTTTTGGTTTGTTGCGGTCAGCGAAATTTGTAAGTAATCAAATTGCAGTGTAATTTACCGAGTTTGACTTATGGTTGCGTGTCACTACTTCAGAGTCGCAGCTTTCAGTCGCAAGTTTTTAAAGGTCGCCGGTCATAAATTACAGCGCAGTACGGTTGAGAAAAACTCTAGTTCTAACTCTGTATGTTTAGATAGTGGTAGAACTTTCCTAAAAAAAAAATAATGCGATATTTATTCTTTATTTCTACAGGCGCAGATATTGACCAAGTTGATCAGGTCTGTCGATAATTCCGCAGGATCCCAAGAGAAAAGGAAAGCAGATTCGGATTAAAAAAAAAAACTCTGAAAACAGAGTCGCTTTGATGAGTTATTCTTTGACTTACGTGGCTCGTAAGTGTCCGTAAAATCCATACATAGGTGTGAGCGCCGGTAATTATTACATGAAAGCTGTTTTTTTATGTAAAATATCAAGGAAAAACCGCAAAAGGATTTTTGAACTTTCATTGGTTTTATTGTCCGACATGAAAAAAAAAAAGTTTGTGGTGTTTAAGAAGTCACGAATGCGGACTTTAAAATTTCAAGGGAGTTCGTAGGATGATCTATAGCGAATTAGGTTACCAACGTCTTTAACGCAGTTGTTTGAAGGCCAAGATCACAGATTTTAATAGCAAAGAAGCTATGTTATGAAAAACAAACAAACATACAAACAAAAAATTTGATAATTCTAAAAAATTTGTTTGTACTTGAATATAGGTCAGAATGAATGTGTTATTTATTTTGTAAAAAGCGTATCTTACATAAAATCTTTCTTGATATAAAGAAACGACTTGTCTTAAATAAAACAGGACATTTTCTAAAACGTGGTCACTGTTACGTTGGTGCTTTCCTTAGAAGACTCAAGGAGAGTTTGATGTTTGCTTCCACTTATCGCTTTATGACTTGGCGGAAATGTTTGGAAACTAAATTTTTTTTGGTGAAGGTGTTTTTTTCCGTAGCATTTTTTCCTGTCCTTCCACAAATAACAACTGTAAAAATTGCGGTCGGTATCAAGATTAATCCTTATGATTCCATTTTGTTGGACCGTTTATTTTAACTGAATCGTTAAAACCAGTGCAATGACTTCATATCGTTCAGCATGATAAGGAGGGGTGTAAATTTGTGGTTAATTCACGTTTCTTTTCCTCAGCACTGATGTCATCTTAGCCTTTCAAAGAAACGTTGATAATCTTGATGTCGTCGTACCGTTTATCGTCCTTAGGATTTGTTTTCACCTTACTAATCTCTTGCACCACGTCCATTCCTTTAACGACGCGGCCGAACACAGTGTGCTTGTTGTCAAGCCATGGCTGTTGTGAAAAGAAGAAGAGTAAATGAATTAACTTTTGGTCAGTCAGTGGTACAAGCTACTTGGAAGGAAAAGTGATAAAACCAAGGTTGTCAAAACAGCCAATCAGAACAGGCAAACGGCTTAAAGCGTGGGAAAACGAGAGATACCTCGCCGCACTTGATTATTGTTTTGCATCTGATTGGTTTGTAAGAAGAGGCGAGTTTTCTCGACCAATCAAAAGGCCTAAAGAGCTTCACTGCGTAGAGGCCCATACAAGATAGGTTGAGAAATTTCAAGGTTACGCGCTTCCCCGCTTCACACACGCTCTTACAACGCGTCCCCATTATCTTCACAGCGTCAGCTTTCTGAATTTATTTTTTCTAAATTGTACTGTTTGTTCTCGTGTCGAGCTCTACCCCCTCCGTGGCAGACTACTGTCCCTTGAAATTCAAAGTTAAAGAAAACTTCCACTGAATGGATGAAATAAATTGCAGATATTTTAGTGAGAAAATCTGTTGTCCCCTTTTCTTTGAACGCGCCGTTGTCTAAAGAACGATTTTAAACCCCTGTTTCCTCTCTGGTGTACTTACCGTTGGTACGACAGTGATGGAGAACTGCGAGCCGTTTGTGTTCGGTCCTGCATTAGCCATGCTTACTGTAAATGGTCGATCGTGCCGCAAGTTTCGATGAAACTTGTCTTCAAACTCACCGCCCCAGATAGATTCCCCTCCAGTGCCATCACCTGATATGCAGAAAAAATATAATCGCACAGTTGTAGTCTTGCAGATTCATATCAAACTCTTTCCCCAGTGAGTGGAACATTTGATTTGAGTAATCTTACTTGAAGGATTTCGTAAAATTGCCCCAAGCGCATGCGCGAGCTCTTATGATTGAAAATGGCGGAAAAAATGAAACGGATATCGCAACCTCCAAAACGGCTTTTAAACGAATATTTGGCGGTTGAAGACAAGAAGAAAAAGAGGCATAAATCAGCTAAGGATAATAAACTTTATGAAATCGAAATAGTCGCGATCGATAAACAGAAGAAAAAAGTTAAAATTCACTATAAAGGTTACAGTGAAGAATCTGATGAATGGCGTGACTGTCAGGACGAGAACATGTTTCTATTCGAACGGCTGGAGAAAACGTATATTCCTGGAGAAATATCTCTTGAGGACAGGACGAACGTCTTCCATGGACATGTCTATCAAGAAATAAAGCGCAAGCTGTGGTCAGGGCGGCGTGATGATCCTGACATCAGGATCGAAGTTAATGTTGACCCTGATGTTTTTGATAGAGGACTTGGTAAGGTTGTAAAAGGAATTCAGATCAGAGGGAAGAAGGTGCATACAATCAAGGATAATGCTGAATTGGATCATATACTAGGGTTAAGGTGGAATGAGAGGATTTTCAATGGAAATGGCGACTTTGCGTATGTTGTCAATCGAACAGTAAAATACTGGTTGTCCAAGAGAAACCCAATTATGGAGTTTAAATACATCGGAGGGAAATTTGTACGGTCAGAGATAGAAGGCTTGTATGCTTTAGTTTTAACCTTCGTTAGGGGAGACGGTAACAAGAGACAGTACATCAGCAGAGCTTTTTAGTTTTATTTTAATATCTCATGTACAAAATATATTTTGCATTGTTTATGTTTGCATAGTCTACACTGCGAATTTCAAAGGACATAATTTGTCAAAGGCTTAAATTACTCAATGAGGCAGAAGTATAGGTTCACTGTTATATATTCTAAAATGAACATGAAACAAGTGGGATATAAGTTCAAATTATGTTGTTAGGACTGCTACAAAGGCTTTGCCAATCACTTGAACCCTACATACATTTTGGGGTCCATTTCCCATTAATTTTAACAAGATGCGAGCAGAATGTAGGATGCTGGCAATGTATACAATGTGATGTACATGTCTTAATGGTGTGCCCAATGTTTGAGCAGTTGGAACACTTGTAGCTGTTTTTGACCCTGGAATACCCAGCTGCCTCCAGGTATTGTATTCTATTTTTCTTCAGAAATAATTGTTTGAGTGCAGCAATTCCCCTGTGGTTGGTAGATCAAAAGTAATCCTTTGATACCCTATCGTTGTACTTCTCCATACCTTGCTGAGTATAGTGGGCGATGTTTGTGTATAGATTAAGGAATTCTGGAACATGGGCATAAAGGGCATGCATGTAAGGGGTGACATCCTTAGTTTGGTATAACTCAAGAAATTTACCTAACCAATCCCCAATTTTGCCTTTGAAATGCATAACTTCATCATTAGAATGAAAATCAAGCTTTAAATCACCAATAATATCTATGAAATCAGCCCATAGCTTTTGAATTTGGGCACTGTTTTCACAAGTAGGAAGAATTGTTGATATTTGTATATATTGAAACAATTTCAACTTCTCAGGACCAGTCAGGTCTCTGTACTCTAATTTCTTGCTTTCTTTCCCAATGTGCCACTGAAATGAAACTCCCAGGTTGTTAAGGAGCATTTCATAACCTGCCATATATTTATATTTATCTCTTGGAAATCCATCTGTAAATGTTACCTTTTTCTCAATGCTATCTAGTCTTCTTAATTGTCTGATCAGAAGTTCAATTAAATTGTCAGAAATTCGTAAGAACAGATGTAAAGTATCAATGACTACATGATCAAGAGGAATAAATGGGAACAAAGGATTATTTTTGCAATTGAACTGTTTTGATTTTGCACACTGACTTATTTGTGCTAGGTTTCGTGCCCCTAGACTAAGATCAGTCATAGACCATTGCTTATTTGTATCCCACCTCTGTAGCCTGGGGCACTTACACCATATGCAAGCATAGTCTTGGTTTGCAGCCCCCAGGCCGCAAACACAAGCCAGAAACTTCCAGTCTCCACCAAGGAAATACTCGATATTATATTTACAATTATTTACAGTAATTATCTTAAGCAATTCCATCTCATTCCTGAGATCAGAGAGACTCTCTTGTAAATTTTCATAGCTTTCAGTTGTTTTAATTATTGCCAAAATGTAATTCCCTTTTTCACCCATGGCTAAATCTTTCTCATTTAATATAGTGTAAGTAAAGTTCACTATTTTCAACCTCTTTCCTATTTGTGTTCCATCCCCACTGAGCTTTACCTTAATTGTGTTCTCTTTCAAGTCTAGTCTTGTTAACTGTTTTCGAAGGCTGTCTTCAAATTTCACTTGAACACCTGCTTCACCTGGAGTGCAACTCAAATTCCATGAAGTATTTAACTCATTTATCCGTTTTGTTATCTGAGACAGTTTTGGCATATCTTTTGCCTTGACTGAAAACTCACGCCAGGCTTCATTGGAGATATTAAAGTTGTCTTTTAGATACATCCACATATTAAGGTCATCTAACTCTTTGTCTGTCATTTCCTTTTCTGTACTATCAATAAAAGGAAGTTCCCCTTCTTCAAGAAGACTAAAAGTCTCTAACTTACCAGTGTCCTCATTGAAGACATCTACCTTGGTGGCAACATAATTATATAAACCAAGGAATGACAGGGTTGTGTGACATTGTTCCTTCAACTATTTTTTGACACGTGCCTGATGTTGTCGGGTGTACTGCCGAAAAGATTTTTTCTTTGCTGGGCCTCTTGACCTTTTTTCCAAGCACATGTCTGCAACCTTTTTCGCCAAACGTTTAAATCGTGTCTTGCTCTCTTCGTCTTTATTCTGTGACTTTTCCAGGGCAGTTTTCAATTTCTCTTCAAGGCAAATCCGTTTAGCTGCTTGCTCAGTCACGCACTCCTCGAGTGCTCTTTTCTCACCTCTCAGCCGATCGCAATCACCCTTTAATTTCAAAACGTCAACTTCGTTGTAGAACACTTTTAATTTATAATTTGGTCCAAATTTCCACCCGTTAACTAATTTCTTCAGGGCTTTTCCGCCTGATTTGCTTGCCCGCTTGAACGCTGTATGGAGGATTGATATCTTTTTCTTAAAAACGTTCAAAATGCGTTTGTTTACTTCCACATTATGTGCTCCTGAATCTTCCAAAATTTTCTTCACGACAGATGCTATAGGAGAATCGTTACCTT